TAGGGCCAATTTAGACAGGATCCAATTCACCTACCAGCATGTCTTTGGAGTGTGGGAGGATACCAGAGTACCCGGAGGAAACCCACGCAGGCACAGGGAGAACATGCAAACTCCAGGCAGGTGGTGCCGTGGTCGGGATTTGAACCAACGATCCTAGTACCGCCAGGCGGAAGTGCTAACCATTTAGCCACTGTGAAGTTCTCACAATGTCAGTGGTGATGTCAATGGGATTTCACATGTAACCACAATGTGGAACCATTTTGGTTGCATTGTGTCAAAATATTGCTCCTACAGAGTATTCTGTAAAAACAGAAACCCAGAGAGATTTGGATGACATAAAGCTACACAAATTGGAGGAAAGAAAATCTACCACAAAAAGGAAATCCACAAATATTCAGAATAATCCAGAAAGGAATCTGAAGACTCTCTACAGCACTGGTCACACAGCTATTATCTCTTTACACATGCTCCAGACCAATAAACACCAAAGGCATTCTGCCCTAAACAGACTATTACAGCTTTGTTTAGCTGCAGGAATGAAAAAAATATATGCAGGAAAAGACAAGGAGCATGCATGAAGGGGTAGCGTCAGCTGAGCAGAATATTCCTAGATCAGTGAAGCATGTCATAATAATAAAACACTGAGCAAAAATCTTAACCTAATACTTATCAAACATAAGCAAAAGAAAATGTCTATATACTTAAAAACAAAACATTCTCTAAGTGCATCACCATATTAAAGTAGTTCTAAAGCCAAAAAGCATTTCTTCCACTACCTGTTCTCCCCACACATTCCCTAAATACTTACCCGAGTCCTGTATCAATCCAGAGCTGTGCTGTCTGCAGCAGCCAGTGTCTTCTCTCCCAGGCAGAGAGGCAGCAGTGGGAGCCATTGACTCCTGCTTCTGTCAATCAAATTCTGTGTGGAGGTAGCGGGTGGCAGGCCAAGATGATCTGTGAATGTTTATGGTTGCACACAGCTCTGCTTGGAAGCAAGCCCACAAGTCTGTCCTAATAGCAGGCAGCTTGCTATGGGGGCAGACCAGGGGCGGACTGACAACTCATGGGGCCCCCGGGCAATAGGGGATCATGGGGCCCATGTGTCCTTGCCCAAACTCAAAAAAGCCTATGAAAAAAGTACCAGGGGCATCTCATGGGGCCCCCTACTGACCCCAGGCCCTCAATAGGGGATCATGGGGCCCCTGTGTCCTTGCCCAAAACTCAAAAAAGCCTATGCAAAAGGTACCTGGGGCATCTCATGGGGCCAAATGGTCAGTCCGCCGCTGGGGCAGACCCAAACATGGACGAGCAGAGAGTGCCAGCTGGGGACCCCAGAAGAGGAGGTTCAGGGCCACAAACTGGAGTATCACTTTAAAAATACTAAAATGCATGCAAAATGTGTGCACATAGCTTCATCAACCTATGATGTACTACATTGAATTACATTATTTTTAGATACGTGTAAATCCTAAAAATAAATCATCATAAAAGCTGCTTTGATTTCTAATAAGAAGCACTACAGCTTAATTTGCTTTGCATTTTGTTTGTATATATCCGGTTTAAAACTAATAATGACACCTGGCGCTTGAATAAAATGCTAACAAGATATCGGATTAAGTCAGGAATGAGGCATTCACCTTTCTCTGTGTTTGGTTTAGTTTGAATGAAGATATTCAATTGAAACAATGATACACTCTTGAGCTGTACTCTGGAGAGCTGTGTATTCTGCTGAAGAGATTCATGAATATGTGCAGACTACAATCCAACAAGAACCTGCCTTTATGAAAGAACCACCAGGAGCTTATCAGTTTTTACTTATTTATATAATCACACGAAGAAGACATACTACATGATTTATACATACAATATATACATACAGAATATTGTGCTAGAAATGATAGAGAAACTATGTGTCAGCTGTGAACATGAACAAAGCTACGAGAACTAAAAAAGAGCTCTAGTGTCATTAAAAAGAAGTAAATTATTTCAGAATGAGAAGCTGCTGATATTACTAAAAGTAACTGATTTACACTTTACCTTCTTTTCTTGAAATGAGAGAATAGCTAATAAGCAGTCTAGGAGCTGACAGCTTGAAATATGTTGTGTCTGAGCAGCTTCTTTTCACTACAGCTTGCATATAGCAGAATAGGGAAAACTTGTTTTACATTGTGTAAGCAAAACTTTATTTTTTAATTCACTATTTTTTATTTCTTTTACATATACCTGACTAGTACAGACACAATTTCCATAAGTACAAATTTCCATTTACATCTATCCAGTCTGGTGAGCTGTGTACTTTGCAGGTGTTCATTTTCAATGGCTCGCCCATTGCACCAAGGTAATGCATTTCCAATGCACAAGCATGGAAGTGCACCATGACACATTAATATGTGATGTGGTGAATTTTTATGTCCTTTTGGGTGCACTGACAGCCAACTCATATGAATAGGCTGCTTTAATGTAATGCACAAGAACAGAAAAATGTGAATAGGTCCAGACTGCTAATAGGAGACAGTGAGCTAAAAGGCTGATTTTAATGCTGCATTTACTCTGCTATTTTGTAAGTGCTTTTAATAAAGATTTATACAAGTTTTAAGAAGGTTTCATAAGATGATCTTGTATTTCCATTCTGGGCATTTACATCGCTGATTTCGGAATACTAGTAGCAAGAGTCTGGAGCATGAACCCTGCCTGAGTTAAGCCTGCACTACCTGTCAATCTGGTAAGGTATATGGGTTGACAGGTATTATTCTATTCAGACCACACATTGATGTTTGACCACTTATTTATGTTTGGCGTGGCATGGATTCACAGTATATGATGAATAGCTGACCTCACAGTGGCAGTAGGATCTTGGAGCACAAGATTTTGTTGGTTTTATTAAGCCTGCACTACCTGTCCATTTGGTAAGGTATATAGATTGACAGGTGTCACACGATTGATTGCACTGTATGATCACTAGCTGATGTGTGGCGTGGCACATATTCAGTGTATGGAGGAGTGTGGAACACACAAGCAAGTTTTTACTTATTTTGGGTAAATTTAGGAACTCCAGTCACCGGATGTACATGTGATCACAGGGACACTTATTTTGATGTACACGCACCAATATCATCTGCGTTAAAGGATAATGCACTATGTTTAGTTTATTTGTTTTGAGGTACTAAGAGTTGAAGAGGACGTATTGGTTTGAGGAACATTGAGAATTGATGGAACACTAACACTGGTGGACTATAAGAAGACTTTATTAGGGTTTATGGATTTATTCTGAAGGATTTTCAATATTTATGTATATAGTTGGACATTGGGGTATTTTGAACACATCAGTCATGGTGACCGGTATTGTCTATATCTGATCTGTAATTTCCAGGGTGGAAGGATTTACCAAAGCGATCCAAGGGATATTGTTTTACTGTAGGTGGGTGTGGTTTTGTCATATATAAATCTAAACCATGCATTAAAATCTCATGTAACCTTTATTACAGGGGCTCTCAATCTTTTCAAGAGTGAGGACCACTTAAGTGATTTGGTAACCAGTTGTAAGCCACAATTAAATGAAATGGTTCAGAATGTCTATTTTGAAAAAATTTTGAATAGCATAGTGAACATTTTTCTCCTGCAACGACTGAATGATGGCGGGCAGGAGGGAGAGGAGGAGAAGTCAGCTTTCAGCGGTTGCAGGAGGAAAATTCAGAACGTTGGTTCCTTTATATGCTACCCCTGCCACCCCTCCTGTAAAAGTGTAAAACAGCGTGTGTGACAGGGAGGCAAAACAGGCCCCCTGGAGCATGGGGCGGGATCACCGATGTGACCCCTGATGCTACACCAGTAGTTGGGAGGGGAGTTTTTACCAACCCCCAAACTGCAAATGTAAACACCCCCTTACTGTTCTGAGCCCACTATAAAACTGCTTTCACACTGATGCACACGAGGTTTACCAGCACCACGGGTGCAGAGCAGTGCTCCTTTGGCTTTCCAGTGAGTTAGCTGCGCTTAGCCATAGACTTTTATTATATCTTGCAATTGTGGTGCACTTTCTGCATTCAGAAGTTTTTGTACACTTTCAGAAAGAACAACAAACCCACAGGATATAATAAAAGTGTGTTTCCCTGGTGTAAAGTTGAGTGCCACATCCAAGGCCCAGATGTGGCCCGTGGGCCACTGGTTGATCACCCCTGCTTTAACATGTTAATTCCTCATGCAGACTACACACAATCATGCTGATACACATTGTTTAGGCATGGTTCACTATTGTCACTCTTAGGAAGCCAATCCACAGCAATGATCTGCAGTCAATTCTGGAGCAAATGTATGTAGACAGGAAGTAACTGAATGAGATCAGCTCTACTGAGATGCCAAAATTGCAAACCAAAAAAAAAAAAGAAAAAACTGCACCTTATGAAAAGCCATGGAAATGATTTACCATACGCAGCACTTTAAAGCTGATCTCAATGTTTAATTGAATTTGAAATAGTTAATTTGGACCTAGCTGGTTCAGATTAACTATTTGCTTCACTAACAGTTGCAGTGGTTGTGCAGCCTCAGCTACATGCACTTTACAGCACTGTGTTCCTGTAATGGTATGAGAACTTTCTGTCCCACTCATAAAATAAAAATTGAGTTATGCTGAGATGGAGAAGTGGACTGTCATGAACTTAGCCAACTGGGGGAAGCTTTGAACTCATTCATAGCTTACAAAACCTCTTGTGAATGGCTGAGTGGAGCAGACTGCAACACAGACCTGTGTACTGTATGTAGCTGAAGCCAGATGCAGTTTATAGAGTGCACACAGTCACTGAAACTGTAAGTGAAGTAAATAGTTTATTTGGACCACCTTAGTCCAAACAAACTATTTAAAGTTAAATGAGACATGGAATTCAGGTTTAACCAACTAAATGTCATCTAGGTAACTACTTGAGCTCTTTGCACATATCTGGTAAGTTACTGTAACAATGAGCTTGTTTTGCCTGCTTGTGGCTTTTCAGTAAAAGTGATACAACAGTGGAAATCTCCCAAAGTGAGGGAAATTGTCATCTTAGACAGTTGTCCCCAGTAATCTTCCATTTGAAGATTTTCCCTTAGTTTTGATTGAATAAACTATATAAAAGCATAATTTATGACAATGTAAATAAACATTCATATCACTGCCATATTGGGTAAAAAGGTATGTATTTTTAGTGATGCGTGATGATGCAGTAGATCATATTTGTTGAGGTCTATACTAACTTTTAGTGAATCATGAGGATAAAATACACGTTGTGCTCATTTAATTTTCAAACACAATCTTTTGAAATGTCTCTCTGCCAGTATTTTTATGAGACGTACAAAATATTCTCCGATATGCTCTTGAACTGTAAAATAGCAATAGAAAACTTGACAAAGGGTCTTACCCTTCCCAATGTCATCCAAAACAGGCAAAAAAAACTTTGCTTAGAGATACATTTTAGGAAAGGTCCACTTTCAGGGGGCATTAAGGAGGATTGTAGCTTCCTGAACAGCTCTGTTATTGAGCACATCCATCCTGCAGATTCACAAGAGACCAATGACATGGGGAGACCTGGGGGATGGGGAGCGGGGGTTTTATGCTATAAATTTTGAACCAGATCTCCTTTCCAAGTATTTATGCCACTGCAATCATGTGTATCCAGCCCTTTGCTGAGTGGCTTCTTTTAAAGCCCTTGTATGTCAATCTAGATTATATATATTTCATATTTTTCTGTTTTTATAATATTTTTTCCAGTGTGACAGCCATTATATATTCCTGTGCACTCATAAGCATTGCAGATAAGAGATCATCAGGACAGCTGAGAGCCATAATTAATAGCATACAAATGATATATAACATTATACTATAATTTACTTCTTTTTTTTTGTTTGCACAAAATATTCTACAAATTTGCATTTGCAGAGTAAAACGTAAAAGCATGAAGATATTGCTAAATATGAGTTCCAACAATGCCACTTTACCAGCTTAATGACTTTGACTGGCATGTTTAATCTAATCTGTCAGTTATTACTAAGACATGTATATCTCATAATGAATTTGCAAATCATTTTGCAGAATACGAAGCACAGATTTTTTTTTCCTTGCTAGAAATGCCATGACAAACCAGCTTCGTCTGTGACAAACAGCATCCTAGAGACAATTGTATTCCAGATCTACCATCGCACGGCTTAGGGTTATGATCCCACCAATATTTAAAATAGTTCAGATTACATTCCATTGTTTGGAGAAAGAGTTTATTACTCATTATCTACCAGTTTACTCATGATTGATATAACATTCTGCTCAGCAGGGAAAAAAAAACTGAGAAAGTTTTATGAATAATTTATAAAATCTTGGCATATTTAAGATACAGGCAGTAAGCGCCAGAGTGTAGTTTCATATGCTTTTCTTTATTGCATAATGGCAGAAAATGTTCTATACATGAGTCACTATTAAATATCAGCCTTAAATGCTAAAATATTTGGATGTTCCTAAGATGAGAGGTCAATGGTTTTAAAGTCACAACTTTTGAGTTGGAAAATAATTTGCCTTTTTTTTATTAGTAATTACTATTTATAACGTTTTATATGATTAAATATTATAAATATTTATTTATTAATACTATTAAAGCAAATTTTCAGTTCCACCAGTGATTTTTTTCATCTGAGTTTAGTTCTCTGTGATAGGGTCTATTTACCCACAACAAATATTTTAATTTGTGTTTTTGAAACCCGCATATTACAATAGCCACTGAGTTCTTCAATATCCTGGCAATTCTAGTAACTGTGGATCAGTTGCCAGCTCTGCCCACCTACCTCAAATGCATTGGAATGCGGCTTCCTGCAATGCAAAGCCAAAAACTCTGATGGGAAAATTTAGGAGCATTTATGAAGTCAAATGGGAGGAGTAGTCAGCCCACCACTATCCACCAATAACTGAAACATTAATGCTGAATGAACTGAACTATTACAGGGCAAACATGCATGCAGAGGTATCTCCTAGCACAGACCAAAAGCTGTGAACATTTGAGATGTTATTGCAGATTTATAATGCTAAATATTCTCTTTTATGTTATTTTCAACAGGGGCCCCCTGCTGCAGGTATATCAGATACAGATGACATCATTACTTGAACACAGATGAGCTACTGAAAATGAGTTATTGACTCATGGTTATCACTCACAGTCTATTTTGTTATGCATCTCCAAGGGTATAGTTTGAAAACCATGGATTGAGATGCATAAAGTAGTTCAAAAACTGCAGTGGTCATGCAGTATTCTCAGAGGAGAAGACAGAAGCACAGAAAGTCATATATGACTGGAATACCTAGGATAAGGCAGGCAGCACGTGTGTGTACATAAAGAGAAAAAAGAAAGAATAGATAGATATATAGACAGTCAGATAAATAAAATAGATATGCATTCAGATCTGCCAGCTTGATTAAAGTGGTCCAAACAAGTACATTATCTCAGTTCCCTAGGGTTTTACATATGCATTATAAGCAATGAAGTATGTATGTAAATAGATTCTCCACAATTTTATTATATATGGGAAACAATTCCTTTGAATATATTAAAGAGCGTTTGATTCCAAAAATTAGAAAACTGTGCATGTAATAGGTTTGTACTTGTCATATGCTTACATAAGAAACAATGTAAGCCTCTTGTTTAGAAAAAAAAAAAACTAGATTTGTTGCAAATATGGGAATGTGGCCAGTTAGATTTAAAGCCTAAATTCAGCCCAAAATAATTTGTATTTTGTTTCAATAGAAGTGGTAAGAGTCAGGACTTCTGTCAGGGGTTTTATAACTCTGTTCCTGTGGAGTCCATTCCAAAAGTGGGATGTGTGGTCATCTCTGGGACAGGAAGGCAAAGGGCAGCAATAAAACCATTGTCAAATGTTTAAACCCTACTAATAATGTGTTTTTGTTCTTGTCCATGTCTAAATTGGACAGATTTTCCAACATGCAATAGGGATAACAGGTGCATGGTGTGGCAGTCCATGTATGTTTGATGAGTTCCAAATGGGCAGGGGTGAAGATAGTCCAGTAGGCACTAAGGGTAAGCTCCATAGGAGCGAAGCATAACTCTGCAGAAGGGAAACAAAGAAACACAGCGCCTCTAAGTGTGTACTGTGAAGGTATTTAATAGAAAGATAAGTAGTAACTCACATCTTAGAATTTAAAAACAGGCTCATGGGTAAGAGGGTGAGACATCTGTAGCCAGATGTTGTTGTGTGTCTGATCCAGAGAGGAGATCGATTGAGTCCGTCAGCAGGTGGTGCTGTGCATGTGCAACATGGATGGTAAGCCTGGTGGAATCTCCAAGGTGTCTGCCAGCAGATGATGCTGTGCATATGCAGCATGGATGGTGGAGCCTGGCAGAGTCTCCAAGATGTCCGGGATTTTCCATCATGGCCTGTCCTGAACAGAGAAACAAACACAATAAAAACCTGACAGAGGCTGTAAGCTATCCCCACTGAAAGTTTTGGCTGGAATTAGCCTTTAATGTTTCAAATGATGAATGCAATCCAATATTTGCAGGTAAAAAAAATGTGCAATTATTATTTTTTTCTTAGGAGCCTGTAAAGCAGATCATGGATGCAGTGTCAGGCTCCTGCAGACTGTCAGTGTAGCTGTCTGCCCATAGCTCATAGGGGCAGGCAGTTACTGGATTGGAGGGAGAATCAATGAACTACTAGAGCACTCATCAGCGCCCTTGTAGTGTATTGAGAACTACAATCTGTCAGTCACAATAGTTGTCAGAGAATGTTCCCGCCCGCTGTCACAACGGAGGGCTCAGAGGGGTGCAAAGGCTGCTGATTTAGTAAGATGTTACATTTTACACCCCGAATATGGGTGTAATGTGTAACATGTTATGAAAAGTGAACTTATACTTTAAGTTTTAAAAAAAATAAGAGAGGAACGCACTCATTTTTAAAGGTTAGTTCTCTTGACCTGCAGCATTGTGGTCCTAGATGTGGTGCTGACTGGCAATACTATCTACATGGAACCTGTATTTTTGTTTAATTGTGGATTTCCTCTAGCAGCTTTTATTTTCAGATTCTAAATATATATATTTGTGTTGAGCCTTTGATTTAATAAATGCCTAACGGTGCTGCTCCAGTAGGAACTTTATACTGAAAGCTCCTCAGGGGCAGGGACATGGGTTAGATAGGTCACGGTACACTAAAATGTAAATCTCTGATGTGCACACAGTCAAATTAAAAACAATACTGTATGTAAATGCACTACATAGATCTTATCACAACTGTGTATGATGAAAAGTTCCCTCAGATCGCTCTATATCTAACTCTGTCGTCCTTCTTTCTCTCCCCCCTCACTCTGCTCTTTCCACAAGGCAATGAGGAATCATTCTTAACTAATTGTCTATGCCTATGTTCCACAAGAACATATGCTTTATTTTTTCTATTCTATCTTCACAGCACCCTCTAGTGAATTAATGTTGCATTTAATGTACTATGGAAGAAAAAGAAAGCTATTACCTATACAGTAAGTTTGTACAGTGTACTGCAATTTTGCAAGAATTATTGCCAGTATACCTACAGTATAGCTAAAAGTGTTCATTTTGTGCTAAACTAGTGATAATCTGCAGTGGTATCTTAAGTGATTGATCAATAGGTATCAACAGAGCTTTACAGGGTAATATACACATTATATATTTATTCACCAAAGGCATAAATTAAATGTGCATGTTTGCAGGTTTAGGTGATCCTGCATGATTAATTATGCCTGTAGATGAATAAACCACTTCTGTGCATCTTACCCATCAATTGTGGATAATTCAGAGATTGCCTATGTCATTTAGGTTTTTGTTCTTTATGGATTCAATATCATTTCCCTCCTTAGAAACTGCTTGTGTTCTACAAAAGGCTTTCCCTTGAATGCAGGACATCTACTAAAAAGACATAATTTGTTGAAAATATGACAGAAGGAGTTTGGGTCTATTTGTCATTATTCAATGTCACTACTAGTAGTGGGTACAAGTCCCATCTTCCTTACAGCGAAAACGTTTCTAAAGGGGTGTTGTTTTTTCTTCTTGTAGCTGAGGCTAGTAATGCCCATGTCGATAATAGAAAAGCTTGAAACATGCTGTGTTCTGACCAGGGGCGAACTGACAACTCATGGAGCCCTCAGGCAATAGGGGATCATGGGGCCCCTGTGTCCTTGCCCAAACTCAAAAAAGCCTATGAAAAAAGGTACCAGGGTACCATCTCATGGGGCCCCCTACTGACCTCGGGTCCTCGGGCAGTGCCCGAGTTTCCAACTGGTCAGTCCGCCCCTGGCTCTGACTAAGCTTTTGATAAACTTTGGAGAGTAGGAAAAAGGTGGAAAGGAGATTTGATATTCCTCCTTATACCTTGAGCCCACTGTTGTCCATTTTTCTATATTAAAAGACTATTCTGTTACAACTGGGTTTACACTATGTACAGTGTCTAGGAAGGTAAGACCTAGAAGGTGTGTCACTTTCTTGTTGATTTGCTTGATTCTCACACTGTGAGCACTGACCAGTATTATCAGGCAGTCCCCCTGTCAGCACACAATAGCACAGCGGGGAGACTGCTGTACTAACATTGCATAGTTAGTGCAGAGACCTCTTCATTTTTTGTTTTTCGTTCAGCCCGCTGGGCTGAAAACTTAGCATGTGTACCAGGCATAACATTCAAAATGTTTGATAGGAAAAGTACACTCATCAACCACTTTATTAGGTACACCTTGCTAGTGCCAAGAAAATATCCCCCACACAATTACAGATTTACTGTAGAGGTGTCTATATAAAGGAATTAAATATGGTTCCAAAATCAGTCTGCTCTTCTAAAAAAAGATGTTAATATGAACCATTTCCCAATTAAATTAAATTTCAGAGGATCTTTGAATATTTGTACAGATAACTTAAGCTACAAAAAGTTGCAAAAAGTGTTTCTAAAGGGCAGGGTGTCCATCATTCCACAGTAAAACAAATTGTATACAGAAAATACAGTATTCGTCCTAATGTTTGGTAGTAGACATCCTGTAAAGATCTTGGTAATAGTGTAATATTCAATGCTAAAGGAGATGAAACAAAATTATAGGGCATTGCAAAGGACCTGCAAAGATTACCATAGAATAACCCCTTATTCTTCAAACAATTTAGGACTTTGTGAAGTATTTCAAAATATGCATTTAAGATACTTGTCCACCTATTTCATGTGTATATCAAGCCAAAACCTTTTTCCTTAGACGTATACTGTAGAGTGGGAAAGATAAGAACTCCTTTGTGGATCTTTACTGCTAATGAAAGGAAGTTCACCACCAGGATGTGAGGGAACATTTTTTTAGTTTTGGATACAGTGAGGAAGAATTAAAACACCTGTCAGCTTTTTACTGCTATCCAATAAAAAATAATTTGTGAGAGTTCCCCTCAGTTATTATTATAATGGCCGCAATGTCACCAGACAGGAAATTAAGGATAATTTGCAACAGGGATACAGACAGAAATAAAAATCTGATGGAGGTTCTAAACATTCCATACTCTACTAATGAAAACAATTTTTATAGTTAGAGAGGTCTCTAACTTCCTGTCTTATTAACCGTTTCAATACCGTGCAATTTTACACCTTCCTGCCCAGGCCATTTTTCAGGTTTCAGCGCTCTCACACTTTGAATGACAATTGCGCAGTCATACAACATTGTACCCAAACTAAAATTTTATCATTTTCTTCACACAACTAGAGCTTTCTTTTGGTGGTATTTAATCACCGCTGGGGTTTTTATTTTTTGCTAAATTAACAAAAAAAGACCAAAAATTTTGAAAAAAAAAAACACATTTTTCTTTGTTTCTGTTATAAAAGTTTACAAATAAATAATTGTTCTTCATAAATTTAGGACGAGATGTATTCTGCTACATGTCTTTGGTGAAAATAACCCAAATTAGGATGTATTATTTAGTTTGTAGGAAAGTTATAGAGTTCACAAACTATGGTATAGATCTGAATATTGATCAATCCTGAAGTACTGACAGCCAATCTAATTTCTTGAGGTCCAAGAATGTCAGAATAGTACAGATATCCCCAAATGACCCCTTTTTGCTGAGTAGACAGTCGGACGTACTTCATAAGAGGCATGGCGAGTTTTTTGAAGTTGTATTTTTTTTGTCATAATTTTTCCGAAAATGAAAAAATGAAAAATATTATTTTCACTATTTTTTTTTTTACATACTGTCACCAGTGCAGTACAGCGTCATCATATAACTGGCATGGCGGTGAACAGGGACACTGACTGGTGACAGTATGAAAAAAAAAAAAAAAATTATATTTTTTTTAATTTTTTTTTTTTTTTTTATTATATTTAATTTTTTATTACATTTTTTTTTATTTTTTTTAAGATTTTTTTTCATATTTTACTATGACCAAAATAGTACAATGTTACCATAGTAACATTGTACTACTTTGGGGAAGTGATCAGTATTTTTTTTTTTTTTTTTTTTTTACACAATTTGCTTATAGCAAAGAATTACTTTGCTATAAGCAAGCATTTAGCTGAATGAAATCGATTCATTCAGCTTTTTTTTTTTTTTTTTTTTTTTTTTTGTGCTTAGCTGTGATTTGGTCACAGCTAATCACATGACATGTGCATGTGATTAGCTATGACCATTCACAGCTAGGCACTAGTATACAATGGATGGCATCATGAATGAAGCCATCCATTGTATACAACTGTCATGTGACCTGCTGTGATTGGTCGCGGCAGGTCACATGGTACCGGCAACGGGAGCCGGTACTCGGATCTGTCATCGGCCGTGTCCGAGGTGCACGGGCGGTGACAGATCCCGCTGCTGCGCCGCTCTGCAATAGCGCAAACGGCGCATGTGCGGGAGCACGCCAAATGGCGTGGACCCGGAAAGCTGCAGCGCTTTTCAAGCCGCCAAACGGCTATTGGCCGGGCGGCTAATGGTTAAGCAATGTCATCAGGACAGGAAGTTAGAATAAGTCTCTTTAATGGAGCCCCGGATGCACTAAAAACATAACAGGTGTGCTAATTCATCCCAACTCTATCTAAAAATAAGAAGAAAATATCATGAAACCACTATTACCTTAGCAGCTTTTTGTCTTCTTAGAATGTTGTTTAAAGCTCCATGAACTTGAGTGATACAAAATGAACCTCAGTTCTGGATTTAAGGTCTGTTTCTTGTTTGGGTTAAGGTTTGGTGAAACAACTGATTATACAGGCTAAAAATATGTACTTTGGCCAAGTCAGAGTCCAGACCTCAACATCAAATAACTTTTTTTTTTTAATTCACTAATATAGACTTATTATCTAAAAAACCTCACAATAGAAAAACAAATAATCTGCCTGTAAGTAGTTTTTGCATCTCATGAATGAAGAAAAAACTTATGGAGAATTCAGTTTTATTGAACCATCTAATTAAATTAACAAGTGTTCACACCATTAAGCAAATTGCACTATAAAGTTTTCGTACAAAAATCAAATTGTTTTACAATTACGTAACAACAGTCCATGAATCTTGTTTCTTCAATGTTCAGTGTGTATGCACAATGATAATCAAGCATTACTAATTACGATTTTTGCTTGGTAACATTTTAACATTTAGTACTAGTACAAATTAAGCTTAAAACACATTGATCATTATTTTTAAATTAAAAAAAGAATAAAAATACCTACTGGGATGCTAAACTGAGGCTCTCATGAAAAAGAAACATGAAATTCAATTGAATGGGTCGTATCTATAAGTGTATGAAGGAAAATCTGTTCTTGCTCAGGTCTTTCTTCTGACCAAGGTTCATTGCCTCTCACGCATATTTATAAGAGACCTTACACTCATGTCTATAGGACTAAGGTCCAACAGCTACCATTCCCCTGTCCAATCAGTATGCTTCAGTAGCTAAATATGCAACTCTCATTGGACAGTGTGGAGAAAAGGTGATACAATGGTGCTTCTGAGGGCCAGTTCACACCAGATGCAGTTCAGTGCACTTTTTGTTCTGCTTCAAAAATGCAGGCAGTGTGTTCCATGTACAGTGCATTTTTTTGTGCATCAAAACTGCAGGCACAATGTTTTCCATGTATTCCAATGGCCCTAGTTCACACCAGTGCAGTCAGTTCTAGTCAGTTTTCAGTGCAGAAAAAAACTTAGAACATGCTGCTTTATTTCTGCACAAAACTGTTCTGGAACATAGCAAAGTGCATCAAAACTGTACCAGAGTGTGATGTGAACTGTAAGCAAAAATGTATCCGGAATGCATCCAGAGTGCATTTTTGTGGTGTGAACTGGCCCTTAATGTTTAAATTTAGATGCTATATTGCAGATGAAAAATATAATTTTCTTACCTGAACCAAAGCCAAGATGTTCCATGAAGTATGTATATATAACCTCCCATTTCTAAGGATAGTCTGTCATGGTTACACTTAGAGGGGCTCTTGTATCTTTATTTCTCCATACAGTGTAACCCTATTGCAAGGTAGAAGACTTGTTAGAGCCTTGTAGGGTCAATGTTTATCTGTATTACTTTCCAATGTGGAGGATTACTTTGCTCCCCTTCCTTTAAAAGGGTTACATAGTTTATAAGGTTGAAAAAAGACACAGATTTACCTAGTTCAACCTTTGTGTATGCATGTGTGTCTGTGATTTTGTATTCGCCAACAATTCCCATAACCCTGTATATTCTGATTCCTGAGGAAGATATCCAAAAGTGTATTGATGTTATCAACACTCACAGCTAGTACCACATCCTGGGGGTGGAAGTTCCACATTTTAACTGCTTTAACAGTAAAGAACCCTTTCCAAAATCAAAGGTTAAACCTCAAATTGTGTCCTCTTCAGGGACCTTAGCATTGTCTGTTTATTACAGTTACTGAAGTCACCTTGGATACATTTGCACATTGTAATCACATCCACTCTTAAAGAGGAACTACACTGCATCTGAGCACCACAAACCAAAAACACAGTTTAGTTCATTTTTAATATTCAAAGCAAACTCTCCCATTCATTCATGTCATCATGTTTATTTTGTTGAGAAATCATTTCTAAAAACACCCTCTGGCATTTCTGGTTGTGGCCATCTGGAGTAAGAACAGATGATTCATGTAGCATTTACTTCCTAGAATTTACCTGATCTTAGCTCATCTATAGGCATATCTGAGAACCCTCCCTCCCCTCCTGAAGACTGTTGAGATGTATGACATTATTTGCCTAGGCATGGAAACCAGGAAGTAACTAAATAAATGTAAAAAAAAAAAGTTTAAAACAAGTAAATAAGATATACTTTCCTATCTATTTACAAATGCTAGCAGAATAAGGATTAAAAAT